GAACTTGTGATCCTCCTACCTCAGCTTCCTGAGTTGTAGGGATTATGAGTGTGCCATTGTTCTTAAAGCAGAATTTAATGGAATAATCATCATACATTTTAACAGATATACTTCAGTACTGCCTCATACTATAGACTTCAGGAATTTCCTGAACTGATATATATTTATTCCTGGAAAACTATCACCTTTATCTTTATATAATTAATTTTCTTCAAACTAGAAATGCACTATTTGATTTACCTTTTCCATCAAAAAAATGAACAAAAATGTTTTAATTGATACTTAGATTTAAGAACACAAGTTATTGACTTTTTAATGGCATAACAGACAAATTCCTTGACTTCTAAGGCTTTAGTTTCCTATCTGTAACATGAAAGGACTAAAAGATTTACCAAGTGTCTTCTAAACCCTAATATCCTTGATTTTACAATGATATAGTCTAGGTACTAGGTGTTTCCTTCTTAAAACAAAATTCCCAAGGAATCATTAATAGCAAGGCATATTTTTTTCAAAAAACAGAATAATGTACTGTTAACAAGGAGTCTATTTCTATTGTCATTTACCCAAGTCTTAAACACAGGAAAGTGTCCCAGAAGATATTCAAGTTTCCCTCTGATAGCCTATTTTCTCCTTGATTCCACTGAGAAATTCTAATAATTCCATGATGTTAATAGTTACATAAAAAGGATACAACTGCCAAGTAAAATATTCAGCATTATCAAATTCCTCTGAAGAAACAAGGAATGAGAAGAACTCCATTCACTGTGAAAATGTTCATTTACTAAGCAACCTTGATAGATTGGGAAACTTCCAAGAAACTCAAAGAATGAAGGAACAAATATTCTTTTAACATTAGAATTTAAAGGGAGATTTAAACTGCTTTTCCCGTTTTCACTGAAATAAATTCTAATAAAATTATTATTTACCTTCAAAATAACATTTTAATTCATAATGAGTCTTATGAACTAATTCACCCAAAGACCCAAAGACCCGGCTTTACTCTGAGTCAAATTATGTCATATTTCTTCTACCCTGTTAATGATGAAGTTTTTTCTAAAAAACAAACAAACAACAACAAAAAAACAAAACCACAAAAACATACTATTTTTACACAATATATTATTGAGATACTTAAAAAAAATAAATTTTGAAAAATTTCCTTGAATAATCATTGTGCTGCACAGCTTATACTTTGTTCTTTGTTTTGTTTTAAAGCAGTGACTAAATATTCTAAGAAAGATAATTTAACATATTTAGACATTTAAATATTACAATCTAACCACTAATATGTAGTAACCTTTAGTTTCTAGAACCAATACTTGAACTTGAACCACTTGGCTGTTACACTAATAGACTTAATGTTTGAGGACAATACAGGTAGCACTTACCTGTATCTCACTTATGGCACATGATGCTATTATGTATCCATTTTATGATGAACTTTTTATTTCTTCCAACAGGGAAAACTTGAGGAGGACAGCCAGGTGTGATTACTCAGTGTCTTTCCAGCACCTAGACCCATGGTTTTTAAAGAGAAGGTCCTTCCCAAACACTTGTTGAATAAATAGAGCTCAAATGTTCACCTATATTAGTTGCATGTCAATGCCTCTTTATATAAGTTGATCTGTATATCTCTAGGCTGAAATTTAATCTTCAAAAAGTGTTTGATTCTGATTAGGGTTAACTTGTTAACTTGCCTACTCAATCAGCAGTTTTCTGGTAGCTAAATTATCACAAATATTAGTTGCTTTATAAAACTGTTTAGGTTAAACATAGCAAAAAAAGAGCGACTGATATAAAGACAAGTGAATTTTTTCTTAAAGAAAAAAAGAGCTTCTCATTCATTACAACGCAAGTTCTACAAACATAGAGGCTTCCTCTAACTTGTTCATAGTTATACCCCCAGCTTCTGCAAGTGTCTGGCACACAGTAAGTCCCAAATAAATATTGGGTGAATAAACAGAGTGCTGATAAAACATACTATTGTTTTTATCTCTTTATATATTTTAGTTCATGATCAAAAATAGAACTCATTCATGGAATGCAGAGGCTTCAATATAATTTCAGACTGAAGTCTGCTTCTGGCAAAGGTTCCAGAATTAGGGACTATCAGCTATAAAATTAAGAATAAATTTACATCTCCGACACTGGCTGATCAAGCATGGGCCTGGGAGACATCAAGTGCAGGTAAGCAAAAATTTCAAATCACTATCCCTGTGCATGCGCAGAGTACCAGTGCCAGCAATAACAATTCAGTTTTTCTGGCAAATCCACCAAAATTAGATCTTAAACTTTTGGAAAAAAAAAAAAAGCTAATATGTTTACTGCATTCCTTCAAGCTTAGAGGCTTAACTACTGTGGGAAGGGCCTATAATTATGATCAATTACTTATGACTTGAAGGCACTTAAAAAGGCATCTGCCCTTTTAAGCAACATTTAAAGAACCAAGTATAAGGCTGTAAAACTTATCCTAGGACAACAACAAATCACAGTTTTGGAGGCCAACTTTGACACTCTGCCTTGGAAGGAAAAGGACTGTTGTCACTTGTTCTTGATTTCCTGAGCCTGCCTGAAAATATATTAGCAACCTCTAAAATTCAGAATTCCTTGTCTGGCCAAGCAAGTCACTGGGGACAGTGGTTACCCCAAGGCAAAGGCGGAAGAGAAGAAAACAGGAAGGAAACAAAAAGGGAATAGAGATCTGTAGCTCGTGAGAGTGACCTCATCAATAATTTCAAGTGTCACTGATTTCATAGCATATGACTGATGGCCTTTTCTGAAAAGCTTCAGGCTAAGTAGTTTCTTGGTTCCAAAGCCCATAAAGTCTGTGCTTGAATATGATTTGCTCTTAAAAAAAAAAAAAAGGTAAATTGAGGCCTTCCTGCGAACCTGTTTAAGGGTAAGGGTCCTATTAACCTACTGGAATACAAATGCTCAGATATTCAAAGTACTTTAAAATTTACAAAGTGCTTTCACATACATTATCTCAATTTTATCCTCCCAACTCCAAGAAGTAAGAGTCATCCTTATCACTTAACAGATAAACATAATTTTAGAAAACTATGCCTTCATCTTCACTTCATAAATACATCCTTCCAGAATTCACAGTTCAGAATCCAAGTCATGGGTCAGTCAGAACTCTCTAAAAACAAAGCCACACTTAAAACTGGATAAATCACAATGCGGAGAGATCAGCCAAATCTACCAGCACAACAGAAAAGCAGCCTTCCTCTGTTATAAGAATAGACTGCACTTTGTAAACTATAATAATACACAGGAATGCCTCTTTAACTGCTTTTCATGGTAGGGTTACTTTATTTGTAGACATGATGATCAACTTTAATTGGACACTCCATAGGTAACGGGCAATAAAGTGAGAACTTTGATTTTAAAATTCTAGTGGTAGAATTCATCCTTTGAGAGAGCTCCAGTGATTCCTGTGGGACGATAACTAAGTTATAGGGAGCTAAAGGTACCCTTCTTCTTTCCCTCCAATGGCACAAAGACCACCCCCAGAGGGTTATTGTTGCTTTTTAACAAATATACAAAAGGTAATTATTGCTTTTCATAAATTCCATTTTCCTAAACACTCCTCCCAGTCTCATTATCTTTTGCCTCCCACCACTTGACTAGCTAAAATGGAGGTATAATGGGGGTCCTCTCTCTATTGCCCTTGACTACCTTATTTATGTATTTATGATTCTTTGCTGTCTTTTCCCCTGATTCTCACTGTGTGGGAACAAAACACCACACAAATCACTCAGCCCAGGATAAGAGAAGACAAGTTAAAACCTCCCAGGGAGATTCCGTAGACACTTGGTCTCCCTAAGTCCACAGAGGGCTTGGTATTTCAAAGGTCAGACTTGGGTCTCTTCATTTTGAGGACTAATGTTAAACTGTTTGACTTCTTACAAGAATATTTAGCTGTGTTTATTTACATAATTTCATGGAGGTCACACGGTAGGCAAGCAGTCGCTCAACAGGATACCTAGATGGATGAGTAGACAAGAAGATCCCAGGATCTCCTTTCTCCAACACACTGAAGGTAAAGAGCTGAAAAGGGTAAAATCACAACCCAATTTGAAGAAGCTTCTGTCCACTTCTTTTTGACTTGAAGCTATGAAGCTATGCATCTGTTTAAAAAGAAAGGGATGACACAACCACACAATGGGGAAATTCCAGGATCACCAAGAGAACACCATTATACTAAGTCCACACACTTTCTTTTAGTACTGGTTACTACTCACAAGAGTGACTGTTAACTGCTGTCTTCCCACCAACTTGCAGGACCAGTCCAAGGAAAGCAAGGAATTTAAAGATACCATAACATGGACTCACATCTAACCCTTGGGAAAGGGAATCTAAGGACTGTGTCAGTCCAGAGATATGAAGTCAGACAAACAGGTAACAGTTTTTTGGAAGACATTTTTAAAATGACGCTGCTTGACACTGATCATAAGCAATGAAATTCCTTAGACCACCAGAACCCACTTTTATTATGAAACTTTAACAAAAAGAAACTGGGTGTGATTGGTAAACATGTTCTTGAGTTTCTTCATTTTCTTTAAAGCTGTACTTTAGGCTCCACCCTTAAAGTCTTGTCCTATTAATTATCACCTGCAACCTGTTATCTTTCTCACTCATTTTCAGTTTCTCAAAAATTCCCCATGGCAGAGAAAAAAATGTGGGGGCTGGCGGGGAGTGCCTCGAGTTGGTAGGTTCCACGTCCCTAAAAGGCACCCAACTCCCCTGGATCCCCTTCAGGACAGGCTTCGGAACTGCCCAGCAGCGGGGGAAGCCTGCGTAGGTCTCTTTTTCTGACTGGTCTTTCTGGCTGGTAAGGTCACTGGCTCTGGCAACAAAACTTACTCAGTCAGATCGACGGGTGGCCCTGGCCTTCCCCAGCCCCCCTGCCTGGAACCTTCCTAAGTCCGAGGATCCCTGGCCCGGCCTCACCAGAGGCGCTGCCCCCGACGGTGCGGGCGATGCACCCAGCTCACCTGACCACGTTGGGGTGCTCGAAGGTCTCCAGGTGCCTCAGCACCGCCACCTCGCGGATGGTGGAGAGCGGCATGCCCTCCTCGCCCGTCTGCACCCGCACGCGCTTCAGTGCCACGAACCGGCCTCCGTTCTTCAGGTCGCGGGCTTTGAACACCTTCCCATAGGCGCCCTCCCCGATCTCCGCCACGCACTCGTACTGCTGGTCCGCACGGCTCAGGCCGTCCTTCTCCATGTCGCCTTGACGCCTCCCGGCACGGCGCAGCTGGGGCGGGCGGGGGTGCGCTTGGTTCGCTAGTCTCCTCCGGTGCTCCCGAAGCTCGGTCTTGCTCGCCCTCGCCCCCGCTGGCTCCGGCGCTCCGACTCAGAGGCTCTCTCGGCCGCTGGACTGGATGGAGCGACCTCTCCGCCGGCTGGCGTAACCCTGGTGCCGCCGCGAAACTCCGCCTGCCGAGTCGCCGCCGGAGGAGCGAGTGGATCCCTCCTCTTCCCTCCCCGAAGCGAAGTCCTCTACACAGACACCGCACCGATTACATAGTCTCTGTCCGAACGCGTCTCGGTCCACAATCTTTGCACCTAAAAGAGAAGACTGGAAAACAAGAAAGTGCAATCAGACATCCCAGGAGCCTTCCACGGGGTTCCTCTAGATTCCCCTCCTCCTCCTTCATGAAGCCCGAGTCGCTACCCTCCGCGAGCTCCGGCCTTCTCCAAGCCTCCTAATCCTTCCTGGTTTCACCGAGAAAAGCGAAGTTACTTTTCTTTCCCTACAGGGCTGGAGCCGTCTTCGCGCAGAGAGGTTGCAGGGGCCCCTCGGGGATGAGCGCGCCGCGCGGGACGCAGTGGAACGGGAGGGGGCGTGCCGAGCAGCCCGGAGTGTGCTGGGAGCGCGGGGAGGAGGGAGGCGCCGGGGACGTCAATGTCACGGCTTAATATTTATACCTTTATGATTGTATGCGCGGCTACTCTCCTCGCCTCCTGGGACCTGGACGTATAGGGAGTGGGGGTCCTGGTGCCTTCAGGGACCGTGCACAATGTGGTGTGAACGGACTGAGGGTCCACCCGTTTGGGGCCGCAGAATGTGGGTGGGGGCTCTCGGGACCCTGTAATCCGATGCTGGGAGTGTGCGAGAAGGGGCGGTCAGACATCTGCTCGGAAATTGCTTCCTTTCTTTCTACTTTCAGTTTTTCCTCGAGGAGACATTTAAAAACGATTCGCACACGCAAATGGTTTTTGGGGGGTAAAGGAGTCTTGGTGGGAAATGGAATTCTCCTCTGACTCGGAGGACCTCCCTGGTGGAAACCCAGGGAAGACAACCATCGGGTTGGGGAGGGCTGGGGCTACTTGGGGTGGGAGGACGAGAGGCCCTGGAACGGGGGGAGTCCCCCACGGGAGCCCAAGAGTGGGAGAAAGGGATGTTCGCCACACTTTCGCTTGTCGTGTCCTTAAAAGAGTAACTTAAGGAAGAAGACACCATAACCGTGTCTTGACTTGAAGTTTTCTGATTTCAACCAGAGCAAAATGCCACCTCCCTAAAAAGGGTGGGGGTGGAGGTAGTAAAGGCTATGGCTCCTAGGGTGGGGGAGAGGGGGCTGTGCCGAAGGTACCCGGACTCAGGAACCTTTCCCCACTGCCAGGGTCGTCCTGATAGAAGTAGCGCGGGTGGCTTCTTCACTGCCCTTTGGGCCAGGTCCTGTCTTCAGCTGGTCGCCCCCAATCCCCAGAACCCTCTGCACAACAAAGTGCCTGAAAGGGGTACCCTAACTTTCCCTCCCCTATACAGGACGTAGGGAAACTTCCTCCCCCACGGGCGCCTCAGCCACCGCCGGACATTCGCCACGCTAGCAACGTGTCCAGAATTCCCAGGACACCTCGGAGTTACCTGCCCCGCAACCGCGGGCCGCTCGCCTTCTGCCAGGAATTAAAGAAAAAACAAATAGCGAGACCCCCACGGTGTGCGGGCGGAGCGGACCGCAGCGAGGGCAGGGCCTCTCAACACTTACTCTTTTCAAAACTTTCCTTAAAAGCCGAGGAAAGAGCCCCCAGAGCCTGCCCCGGGGTCTGAGCCAGGTCGAGGGCCACACAGGTAGCGGGGGAGCAGCCGGCGGCCGCCCAGTCCTCCCCTCCCACGTCCCCCTCCCCCTCCCGCTCGAGTCCAGCCCTGGGCCCCGCCGCAAAGGAAGCGTCGGGGACGTCCCACCCCCGCAGGGAACTGCGCCCGCCGCCCCCGCCCGGCCCCGCACCACCCGCGCTGGCTCTCCCCCCTCGCTCGCGGACGGTCGGCTTCAGCAGAGGGAAACGGGAGCAGCAATGCCTTTTCCCCCCCTCTCCTCCACTTTTTTTTGTTGTTGTTGTTGCTTTCCCACGCTGGCTGAATGTGACTTGACCCCATTTCAAAAAAGTTTGACATAGTGCTTCAACATTTCCGCATTCCTCCGCGACTACAAAGGCTGCAGCCGCCTCCTTCTGCTTTCTGTCTCTGCTCTCTGTCTTCACACTCAATGAAATCCTTCATGTGCCTCTCCCGAAGCCTGCCAAGCACCGCAAGGGTCGCCACCAGCGCAGCGAGAAGAGGCCGCACCGGGGACCGCGACTCCCGCGTGTGCGCACATGCAGATGCGCCCACGTGCACACGGACCAGCGCGCTGCGGGGCCCAGAGCTGCTCGCTGCGGGCGTGCGTTTTAACTTCGATATTTTAAGTAATAAAAATAAACTTGGAAACTAAAGCAAACGTGCGTCCTCGCGGGGCTGAAAGCTTGGGCACTGGTCGGCTGCGTGCACTCCTCTGTGCATAACACGCCTGCGGGGTTGCCAGCAGGAAGCCCGCGTTAACATTTATTTCATGGTGGGGAAGATGGAGCCCACACCCACACCTCAGCAAGCTGCAGAGGGAGCTTTCCTGGGGAAATAATTTGGGGGGCACGGAAACACGTTCTCCAGCATGGAGTCCCCAGAGGCAGTGCATTTTACACGGTGAATGTAGATTATTATGTGAATGTCCGAGTAGAGTTCAAGTTCCGTTTGGAGAAGTTGGATGAGAAGTGTATGTGTGGGTGTTTGTGCGCACAGATATGTGGGAGCTGGCACAGGATCTTGGTATCGGGGTGTCCTAGTGCGGGATGTCCCCCTCCCGCCAGATTAGATAAAACTCCTTTTAGCTCCCCAAACCCGGCCCCCGTAACTTACCCCATCTCAGTTCGTAAGGGGTTAACCAAAGTCGATTCCGAGGACATACAGTTTCCCCCCACCCCCCACTCGCCCCCACCCACATTCTTGCCTCCGACCCTAGCAATCCCCCAGATGTCCCCTGGGACCCCCCACCCCGAGCCCACCCACCAGAGACCGAAGCTCCTCACCTGAGGGGCCCAGGCGCGTCGGGCCTCCCGAAGGGGATACGAGTGTCACTCAGACCTCCGCACGTGTCCACCGCGCGCGGAGCAGGTAACCAGACTGGGGAAGGAGTCACCAGCACTCTCTCCGGCGAGGGCTAGGGGGTGGGCACAACGGCGGAGGGCGGAGGGACCGCGGAGGGCGCCGCCCGCGCAGCTCGCTGGGGGGGGACGGGGGCCTCGGGGCTGCGGCGGGGGCTGGGGGCCCGAGCTGGGGAGGCGATGGGGGCGGCCGCGCGGCAGGGGCGGAGGCGGGGACCCGCGACGCGTACTCTGCCCGAGACCCACCGGGCGGCGGGGCCAGGGGCTCGCGGCGCGGTGGCAAGCAAGTGTGCAAATTAAAGCCTTCCGGAGAGGGGGGAGGCGGCCGAGCCCGGGCCGTGCTCGGAGCCTCCCAGCTCCCCAGCAGTCCGCTCCGAATGGGGGGCGAGAAGGGAGGCGGGGAGGGGGGGGTAAATGAAAATTTCCGGTTTTCACTGCAACTGGAGTGGGGGATCCCGCGACTAAAATAAGCGGCGTGAGTGGGTAAGGGTGGGAGGTGTCGTCGGGAGTCGGCAGAGTTTCCACACCCAGGGTCGCCCTGAGTTGGAGTTTTGACAGGGTGAGGCGGGGGCTATCGGCGGTCTGTGATGTGGACGGATGGAAAAAACACAAAACAACCAACAACAATTATGAGGAGCTGGTGGGGGTGGTAAATACCAACACTTTCCAAGAAACCGAAAAAATCAGACCAAAAAACAACTCTTTTCTATTAAGAAAAAAAAAAAAAAAAGTCTGGCAGGATGCCTTGTAGAAAAGAAAATACTAATCTGTCCAAGCACTTTTCACTTTCAGCATGAACTACATTTGTTTTGTTTTCCTTCGCTTCCTTTCGGCCTCACAAAGCCCTATCTTTTCCTTTTGGACAGAGGCTATGGTTTGGAAATAGGACTCTTGTGGTTAACGATCTACTTGAAGGGGCTGGCGGGGTCACAATTATTAAGTGGTTAGCAACTGCTGAGGGTTCACTAAGGTATTTTTGAGGAGCTAAAAAGACTAAAATTTAGTGTAAATAACAGAACTGCAAGATAATAGACACACGTGTACACACACACACAAAGAGGAGTGCTTAGTTTAAGTGCATTATTGAAATTTTGAAATGTGAAACCTTGTAAAAATGTATATTGTACCTACTGAGAAGACCTGAATGCAATTATTTCAGGTGAAAATGAGATTTTGAAGGGGGGAAAAGTCTTCAAAACATCCTACAATAAAGTAAAATAGCTATCTTTGGGGAAATAATTCAGTGTTCTCCAAAATCTGTATCTGTAGAACATTTGAAACCCTTTTTAAACATCTTAAAGCAAAACTAAAAAAAAAAATTAAAAGAAAAGAAAAAAGCAAGAAGAAAATAGAAATATTTTGGTGCTTTATAGAAAAACAAAAACCCAACAAAATTTTGTTTGAATTGGAAACATTCTGTATAAATCTTTTGCTTTTTTTGAATTATAAACCACATCACCAATTTCATTGCAGATCAAATTTTTGCCTTTATAAAATTAATTCTGTATTGCAGTGTGAAGAAAGGTTAGGGAAACAAGAATTGATGCATTTCCACTAACAAACATTTTGCAATGCATTATAATAATTTTTCTTAAATAATAAAGGTGAATAATTATATCTTTGAGCTTAAGATTTATAAAATTTATAAAATACATTTGTGTTTAAGAACATATCTTCTAAAATAAAATCCAGTTTCTGAATAAATTTTGCATTTGTTGTCTATCATTTTATATTATACATTTAAGAAAGCAATTTAGAGTTTATCTTTACATAAAATATTGAATGACTACAAATCACTAATTGGACTTCAAACTAGAGATACAAATAGGAATCTTCCATTTTGATAATTGTGCCCACTTATTAAGGCTTTTTAAAACAAGATTTGCTTGCTAGTAATTAATATGTTTATATATCAAGAAATAATGACCAATAAATAGTTACAGGAACCAACTCATGATGGCAAGAATTTATTTGAGTAAATAATTTGTTTTAAAAACATTAAGCTGTAAAAATCTTTAAAGTTAACAGAAGAGTGTCTTTTCTACACTGGGTAGTATTTTTAATTACTGGATTTGACAACAATCATTACTAGATTAAAATTTCGATGAGTTAGGTTTTAGATCACTTGGGCAATGTAAAAAAAATGTCATTTTATTTAATTATGTATGTAATAGCAGGTGTTAACTCTCTGTCCTCTTCTTTTTCTGGCATAGTTTATGTTTTATGTTAATTTATCATTGTTCTCTCTCCCTGGTTATGGTTCACTTTAAATCCCAGTTGGTAAAAAATTCAGACTCAAGGAAGTTTTACAATGGATTGTACAAAATTAGTAAATATCAGATGGTTTTTGTTTATGGATAACTTCCTCTGTGGATACAGGTTATCATAACAAAATTTCTACAAAGTTTATGAACTGTGAACCAAATTCCGACTCCTTTGTTTAGGAGTCTTCTATGAACAAAAACACAGT